TATATATATATCAAACGGTATGATAGCTTGTGGAATTTGTAATGTATTCCAATCAATTATCTTGGATTTATTATCAAAATTGCTCATTCATTACTGTAACTTTTTTCATTATTCGCGTCAATTGTTATGCAAATGACTTAATGGTATTCCTACTTTCACACGCCGTCTCCTTCAACACGATTTCAATTCACCTGAAGTCGCATGCCTTGAGCTCAAACAACGTCAATTGAGTCAGATAATCCGTACAAACCACAAATTTGAGATCAAGCATCGCCGGAATTTCGGACGAGAAATTTTTGATTGAAGAATTATACCCATCATTCGAGCAAGCGATCGGTTCGCGTGGAATCTTCCACAGAGGGATTGTTACTTGGACACGTCGGCTCGATAGAATCTGGAAGATATACGAGACGGAGGAACAACATCGGCAAAGTCGAAGTGAATTATTCGCAGCGTGGACACGAGCAATTATTAGGATGCGCGCAGCCACTCGAGTTTCCCTGCGCGTTGGTCCGTCTCTGCGTGGCGGTTGATTTACGCCGCGTTTACCCGGCGCAACGTTTTCGCCTCGCGACTCGGCGAACAACAACTCCGTACTTAACGTTTCGTTTTACGATTACGCGAATCGCGTGTAATTGCCGGCTGCGAGCTGCAGCCGCTAGCTACAATTGTATTTCGCCTTCGAGATCGCGTCAACTGTCCTATAGATCTTGGCGCGGCGAATGAGAGTCGGGATAATTGACGCGAACGCGGGTCCTGCCGGGAAACTCCGCAATTACGGGTACACATAGATGTCCTCCACGTACACAACGGCGTTGCTTTCTCGCGGATGGAATCCCGTGGCTCGTTGCAACGTTGTCTACCTTACAAATCAATTAGCCGAACGCGAAGTTATCACCGAGGAAATCGAGAACGATCACGTTCCGTTGCGCAGTCATCTTCGAGAATTCATGTTTTTCATCTTTCTAAGTTCCTTTGCTCTGCTGCGTATTCGCAAGATACGAAGGAAAGCAGTACGAGTCTGATGAAAAAGCACACTTTTACTTGATGAAATTCTGTATAGCAATAGCGCAGGATTTGAATTTCGCGATCGAATTCGAATTCGATCAAGAAACGATTCAACGAGTTTTGTGGAGATAATTCGAGACGTGCCGACGATGTCGTTTGGTTTAAATATAGCTTTTCTTAACGTTTATCAACTTCTTCCCACAAACAGAGATAGTATAATTAAATATTATTCGGTCGACACGACAGCGCGATGACATTGTCCGGATTCTTTTGGTGCATCGTGGCTTACGCTCCGAGTCAAAGATAGTAGATTGACAGTGGCAAAAGATACGATACGCAAACGTAACGCAATATTTTT